TTACAAATTCTACTTAAAACTAGTCTGAGGACATTTAAAATAATACATAATTATTCTTTCAATAACGGAATGTCGAAATGTGGCCTTACCAGTTGCCAGTGAGGCGATCGTGAAGGTTAATATTCGCAGCTGAAATGAAATCTGGTACCTTATTAAAACTAGATACTATCAACTATCAAGGACTGATATTTGATTCTGATTCCGAGGGGTGGAAGAAGAGATGATGTCTTATTGTAAATATCGCTGTAAGGAAAAGAATGTATGGATGTCAACTTCTTTATTATGAGGAATACAACGTTTTGGAGTATATTCTTAAGCCTTCATCAGGTAAGCATATACTCCGTAACGTTGTGTTCCTAATAATAAGGAAGTTGACATCCATAAATTCTCTTCCTTATGTGTATCACTCCTAAATACCATTCAAAGACCTCCACATCGCCGTAAGGAGCATCAAGTACTCAATCAACAGTTGGATTTGACTGCTCAGAACCTAATTTTGTGATGTATTGTAAAGATAATTTCAGACAGCGTTGCTTAAGGGATGGTTCATCCGCCTCCACATACAGACTATGAATAGGAGAATTTATAAAGGCTCCAAGACAAAGCCTCAGTCCTTGATAGTGGATAGTATCTAGTTTTAATAAATTACGTTTACATGCTCCACCATAGACGATGGAGCCGTATCAAAATTTTAAATAGATCAGTGACCTGCGACCCCACTTTGAATTAGAAACGACCTGCGACAAGTCGAGTGCTTTCAGGCATTTGGCTTCAGGTTTTCAGGATTTCGGGCGTTCAGGCTATCAAAGATAAGTCCCAAGAACTTGGCCTCCTACACAGTTTTGATAAGGGTGCTCTTCAATAATAGTTACGGGCCTTTATGCGGCTTATATTGTCTGGAGAAATGTATACAATTAGATTTTGGATTAGAAACGGTAAACACATGTTCAAGGGAGCACTTGTGAATTTCATTGATATATATTTGTAATAACCTCTCTGTGGTATGCATATTTTTACACCAAGAAATATTAAAATCATCCACAAAAAATAATCCACCCACTGACACATTTTAAACCTTTCAAAGATTTTTTATGTCAAAACGAAATAATGTGACATACAAAATACTGCGTGTAACAAATGTTACATTTGGGATAAAGTACAGATTCTCGTCCTTTTTTGGGTCAACAGAAAATGATAAATATTACTATTACTATTTTTCCGCAAACCTATTGAATATTTGTTATTAGATTATTGGTTTCCAAATTTCAAACTAATCTATTGATTACACTTCGTTCCATGGCATTGCAAACGAACTGGTTAAAGATATGTATAGGGCGGTAATTCCGGCCAGGTTTTGGTATGGGGACTGCGATGGCCTTATGCCACAAAGAAGGAAAATTCCCTGACGTCTATATTTGGTCAAATGTATCTTAAAGTGTCTCAAGACATGATTCAGGCAAATTCTTCAGTAGCTGATAGTAGATATCATCGTCGCCTCCTGCAGTAAACTGAGCTTGAGCAAGAGCGGTATGTAGCTCAATGAATCAAAATACTTTATTTTCGGCCTTATCAAAATCAAACTTAACTCTTTTCTTTACTGATATCTCTGAAACTCTGGACATAATTTGAAGATCAAGAATTTTGGGCTGAAGTTTCGCCAAGGTTATTTGCAATGTCAGATTTATCAATTATTATTTTGTCACCATCTTTAAGATGGTGGACAGAGGATCTTGAACCTTAGCGTTTTATTTATAGCCATGTTTCACACCTTAGACATGAGTGTGCGTGAATTAATTTTGGAGACATAGTTCCTCCAATATTGATGCCTGTTTTGTTTGTAGGCACGTCGTGACTTGGTACTAGTAAGTTGAACATTTTTTCAAGTTAAGAGCGGTAGAAACATGAATTTATGGTAGTAACATTTGGCGTTGTAACATGAATACCCAACTAAGACACAGTGTACTGACTCTTATATAGCGACGTACATACACGAGTGTGTGTGTGTCTGGCTGCTTGTACTAGTCCGGACTGATGCCAAATTATAGTGCTAGCACACTGAGATACCATGCCGCAGTTTAACATAAATACCCTACTCAGACACAGTATACAGACTCCGAGCCAGCCAGTCCTTGTTTTAGCCCCTTAATGCCAAGCTCCAGACAGGGTGACTCGGCCGGGGATCGAACCCCCAAGTTTCGCTCTTCAGGCAGACGCTCTACCACTAGACCACGGAGGCAGTCCTGTGATAAAGGCGCTTCATCATCCGGTTTACAGGTTTTAGGACAGTAGGGAAGATATCACTTCCTCAGAGATCGTCATGTGCAGATCATTCAAGTTCATTGTGAAGATCTGAATCTGTGGAGGAAAGATAAAGGGCGGAGTAATTGCCAGTGGCAGGTGTTCAAGCTCGCTGACTTGGTTGATACATGACATCGTAATCCCCATTGCGTGAATCGATGCTCATGATGTCAATCACTGGTTTGTCTGGTCCAGACTCGATTATATACAGAACGCAAAGGAAAGTCTGTAAATCACTATTAATGAACTAATACAAATATGAAAATTGCAATGATCAAATACAAGAACCTGTGTTTGCCGTCACATTGCTGCGTATGGCGTTAAATTTCAAACGAACAAAAAATACTGAAACACTTTTTACTTATTTTCCTTCAGCTTGTTAAAATATGTGGGACAGGATACGTTGTTCCTTCAAAATTGAAAAGGCTATTCAGTTTTGAATGTCTGATGAAACAGATCCATAGGGCGATAAAGGCAAAATAATGATGTTTGAATGTATGATTTGATAACTTAAATTCCATCACTGAAATGCTCTATCGGTAGAATTCACAGTTTCATTACAAATTTGATCTGAAATATATCGTTCTGGAACGCTTACATTTGATTTGCTCTTCTTCCTATAAATGACAAGCTGTACAATATAGTCACCTGATGTGATGTCATTGGAAGTCTCCTTGTAAACCGATGGTAGTACACGTCTTGAAGACACAAAACAAACAAGATTTTGTTGTGATTTTATTGAAACTTCAGCGGCTTGTCAAGCACAGAGACCATGGGGTAGCGTGGTGGTTATAGCTTTCTCTCGTCACGCCGAAGCCCCGGGTTTGATTCTACATTCGCGTACAATGTGTGAACAGCCCCTCCAACCCCCCCCCCCCCCCCCCCCCCCCCCCCCACACACACACACACACACACACACATACCCCCACAAACACACACACACAAAAAAGAAAAAAAAGAAGACGAAATTGAAAAAACAAAAGGCCAAAAACGTTTTGTGGTAGACATGTGTAGGTTTCTAAAGTTGACAGGGGCGGTCGGGTAGCCTGGTGGTTAAAGCGTTCGCTCGTCACGCCATAGATCCGGGTTCGATTCATGGGTACATCTCAAAAGGTGTTTTTTGGGAAATATAACCCTGTCACCTGAAGCAAATGTATGTACATCTAAACATCTAACACTGGGCCATCAATAACACACGTATAAAGAATTATCATCAGCAAATAATTTAATAAAACTTGGTATGTCATCATCTATATCAATAAATAAATATCATTAATAAAAAGAAGTGGCCTCAGCACCGATCCTTGTGAAATGCCTGCTAGTAAAGATTTAGTATAGGATTTATATCAACTGACTACAGTATATTGGTTTCTATTGTTTTGATAACTTTCACACTTATCTGAGAGTGGTCCTCGTATTCCAACGTGTGTTCCGGGAACTGGACAACAGGTTAATGAGACTGAAGGACCATCTCGACACCGGAAGAAAGACATCCATGCAGTTCCTAGACGCCGCTAGCCACCTTATCTAATTTGGACAATACCTTTCTACGATTTGCCTGTGGTTAATTGATTGAATGTAAAATATTGCCCAAACTAGTGTTATATTTTTCTTCTGTGTTATATTGTAAATATAATATATCCGTAACTTTCATTATGTGTTATGGTTGTATTTCATTTCACACGTGTTGTCTCAGTATGGACAAGTTTATCTCATATCACAGGTGAAACAGGTGACAGTTATGTTAACTCGTGCACACGGTCTCAACCAACGAATTGTACGAGATAATAATGTGACAGTTTGGTATCATTTCCGTTGATGAACCAACCGAATATGGTGGCTTTGTTGACGTGACGTCACACGCGGACAAGTCATGAGTGGAGCCCTGCTTTAGATAACGTCTCCAGAGTGATGCTTTTGTGTTTCGATGAGCATTAAAATGTCTGGTAACTTCGTGTTGCGCTGTTCCAGTTTGCAGCATACCCACGACACGTAGACGTCATTGTCAGCAAGCCGTGACATTGCGTAAGCGTTATTTACGGTTAAACAAGGATATTTTATGAGCAACTTTTAGATAAACAATCAGCGTGTGCTGGTCACATCAACAAACTCCCGATAGTATCATGTTCCCAACAAACATCCACATAGTGCGCCGTACAGGAAAATGTGCAGTGCAAATTGTGAATCACGTCCTTAAACATGAGGAGAATGATGTATATAGTAAACTACAGTTATAACGAACACGCTCATAACGAACTTACAGATATGACGAACTTATTTTGTAGTCCCGACCATTTGTTGTAAATATGCTGTATATGTGCTTATAACGAACTACGGTTATAACCAACTAAAATTAGTGGTCCCTTTGAGTTCGTTATAACCATAGTTAACTGTACATGTAAAAGTATTTAAAAATGAATTATTTCATTTCAGAACAATTTAGTTTTATTGAACTTGGCATTAGGCTTAGTAACTTTTTCCCGCTACAATACATGTATGAACGAATGTAGACACGTAACGCCTTCATATAAATTTTCTTTGACATGCCGCCAACGTGTTTCACTTCAATCGTAAATTGCTTTCACGTGAAGTAGGCGTTTATCCGGCTAACACCTCACCACGTGTTCATGATTGATATTTCTCACAATTATGGTTGAACAGTATGTATTTATAACCAACTGTTGATTAATGAGTAGGAAATGATACATTCCCCGAAAAACTGCTAGGAAAACGTGAGTTCGAGTTGATTATTTATATACTTTCCTTGTTTCTGATTCTAATGTGCAGGATGTACTTGTTTGATTACCCGGACATAATACTTTACGTATGCATAATCTGAACGGCGAACTGCGATGCTATAGAAGAATTGACCAGTTGTTCATCCGGGATTAGTTGTCATTGCAGGTCACTGTTGGCTTAGCCCCGTCACACATTACACATAGCTAATTTCCTGACTATCCATGTTCGAGAATCCCGTCTTTCTTACCTGTATAGTGAGTGAGTGAGTGAGTTTGGTTTACGCCGCTTTTAACAGTATACCAGTCATATCACGTCGTGTCAGCTTAATGTGGGAGGAAAGCCCGAAGTGATGCAGGTCTCAGACGTTTACCACTTCGGTGAAACCCACGAGCACGGGCATGGTGCTGACAAACCTAGAAACATAATCGTGGCGAACTGGGATTTGAACTCACAATCATAGGTTTCTGGCGTGCCTAAGGGACGCAACTCTGCACAGCGAATCGCGGCGCCTTAGACGAGTTGGCCATCCGTGCATCCTCTTACCTATATAACCTGCACATGATACTTTAGTCATGCATAAACGTCTCTCGTATTCGAAATATGTCTGGACATGTTTTGGTGGTGCAGTTCGAGGCAGCTGTGTCAGGATCCGTTGGTCACTCTCACTTTCCCCATGTTTAAGTAACAGTCCAGTTGTTTAGCCATGGTTTACATCGAGATACCCTTTACACAATATACACGGGTATCCTGCATGGCGTGGGTTCGAATCACTGGTCGCCCCGATTATGTTTCTAGGTTTGTCAGCACCATACCCGTGCTCGTGGCTTTCACCCAAGTGGTAAACGTCTGAGACCTGCAACACTTCGGGCTTTCCTCCCGCGTTAAGCCGACACGCAGAAAATTAACTTGAATAAAAGCGGTGTTACACTCACTCACTCACTCACTCCTGCATGGCAAGTGAAAGATTTTAGCAGTGTTGGTTGTTTAACGACCCAGTCGATCAGACAATTCAGTGATTGATATCATGGTCACCGATCCACACAGTTGGGAAATGGTGACATGCATCAACCAAGTCAGCGAGCCTGACCACCCGATCCCGTCAGTCGCATCTTAAGACAAGCATGGATTGCTGAAGACCAATTCTAACCCGGATCTTCACGGGTTGGTTGGTTTGTTGTTTAACGCCGCACTCATCAATATTCCACCTATATGAAGGCGGATCATCACGGGTCTCCACCCGACATGTATATATGTGCATGTGCTTTAAATGCATCCTTGTGATGACGGTTGATAAAAAGTAAACTACGTTTATAACGAACACGCTTATAAAGAACTGACGAATATAACGAATTATTTTTGTCCCGGTCATTTGCTGTTTATATGCTGTATATATGCTTATAACGAACTACGGTTATATCGAACTAAATTCAGTGGTCCCTTTGAGTTCGTTATAACCGTTTACTGTACTGTGTAGATAATTTTAATTTACTATTGTTAATCCAGTCTGTTTGCGAACTCTTAAACCACTGGCCTACTCCATTTCTCTGATCCCGATTCTGTCCGTACAACACCCGGTCAGGGTTAGAATAAGTCCCCACTACATTCTTGTCGCAAGGCACGATTGATAATCATTGGATCGGGTGGTCAGGCTCGATGACGTGATTAAGGACTGATCTGTCGTTGACTTTCCTCTGCTGTGAATCATTTGTCTTTTTGGTCTAGATATTTTTTTTTCTCGACATTGCTGACTGGCGCGTGTAGAGAGCCACATACAACAAAGAACAGCGCCACGCCCTTGATATTTACAAGAGCGTTCGTCGAGAGCGACCACCTGCGCACTTTCGACTTCCCTCCCACACTAGGGTTTCGTGTCCTAATACAATTGAGATACGCAGCGTTAAACCCAACCCAGTCATGATGTCTATATATACATATACGTATGGTCGTGTATGAGGAACCACCCTATACCGCTCTGTGATTATCTAGTTATACAACTAGAAGTATAAACTTGTAGAGATGTCAGGGAGTGTATTTATTGTATTAATGAGCGTACGGGTAATGGAGTTCTCATCTGGAAAATATTTGAAAGGTGACCCCGATCTCCTTGTGGCCTGTATGTATACTGTGTAGGTCGTGCTCGTGTGATGCACGGGGAACACGTGATGGATCCAGCATTTTTAAAAACCGGGGCTCCACTCGGACCATCTGTTACTACAGTGGGTGGGAGTGGGAGTGCCTGCCTCAGTGGTCCCAAACACCACATGTAACCCATTATCAATTTTACTAACAAGCAAATCAATATGTTATCTTAGTAGGCAATGCGCATACAGAATGTCATCTCTTTGTTTGTTTGTTTGCTGTTTAGCAATATTCCAGCTATATGACGGCGGTCTGTAAATAATCGAGTGTCGACCAGACAATCCAGTGACTGACATTGGGATCGATGACATGCATCAACCAAGTCAGCGAGCCTGACCACCTTATCCCGTTAGTCGCCTCGTACGACAAGCATAGTCGCCTTTTACGGCAAGAATGGGTAGCTGAAGACCTATTCTACCCCGGATCTCTCTCTCTCACTCACTCTCTCTCTCTCTGTCTGGTACTGGGTGTTCTGGAAATAATATGGGAAAGTAATTGTGTGGTTCCTGCTTTCAGAGAGTTAGGTTAGTTAGCAACACACCCACACCCACACCCACAGACGCATACACGCACTCACACACACACACTCACACACACACACACACACACACACACACACACACACACACACACACACACACACACACACACACACACACACACACACACACACACACACACACACACACACACACACATACACACACTCACACACACATACTCACACTCTCTCACACATACACATACACGCACTCATACACACACTCACACTCTCTTACACACATATTCAGGTTTGCTCACACACACACGAGCACACGCACTCATACACACACTCACAGACATATATACACGCACATGCGCTCACACACACACTCACACTCTCTTACCCACAGACGCAAAGATTCAGATTTACACACACACTCACACATACACGCACTCACACTCTCTCTTACACACAAATACAGATTACAGATTCGGATTCGCGAACACACACACACACACACGCGCGCTCTCATACACACACACGCACGCACAAGCACTCACACATACACGCACTCACACACACACGCACTCACACATACACACACACGCACACACACGCACACACACCCACTCACATACATACATTCACATACACACACACAAACACAAAAATACGCATTCAGATACACACCCAGACACACATACACGCACGCACGCACGCACGCACGCACGCACGCACGCACGCACGCGCGCGCACGCACACACACACACACACACACACACACACTACCCCCTCACCTCACACCCCACCCTCACCCCACCCCACCCCACCCCACACCCCGGAATATGAAATGGCCCGTCTCTCATTAATATAATTCTAATAGTATTTACTAGTCGCATTTTATCATTAGTCATACTAATCCTAATAATCAATTTTCCCAGTTTATATTTAGTCCCGATTATGTACCCAAATAGATATACTGTCACCTAGTAGGACTTTGTTCACATGACAGACACACTTTTCCTCCTGAAGTTAGTTCCGTGTTTCTCGCACTGGTCACAGTTCACGTACGTGACATCTTCGAGGAAACATCGCCATCACACACTCAGGTAAGAGAGTATACTAGTAGGTGTGTTAGAGATGGGATGAGCCCATTGTAAAGCACAGACATAGTGTTGGTTAAAATCGACCAATAGCAAAAGATACAGACAAAGTTTCGTCATATTAACTTTTCGGAGTGAATTATTTAATTAATTGAAATTAATTGAATCTTCGCACTCCTCTCTTCAGTTTTGTGTCCATAGACGGTACACGATGTGAAAATCTTTGTTCGCATCTCAGATGCGTCCCCGATCATGTTCTATATAGACGACTCGTGAAGATCCAGGTTAGAATTTGTCTTCAGCAACTGCCGTAAGAGGCCACTACCGGGATGGAGTGGCCTGGCTCGCTGACTTGGTTGTTGTCATCGTATCCCAATTGCCGAGATCGATGCTCATGATGACAATCACTGGATTGTCTGGTACAAACTCGAATATTTACATACCGTCGTCGAAAAGCTGGGATAATGCTGAGGGCGGTCTTAAACAAGAAACACACAAAGTGTATAAACGTCTACATCACTTTGGGATCGTTTGAAAGAAGTATTACAATAATTATAAAGTTATAGCAGGGATGTATCTCCCGCTCAGAAATCCGCGTGAAGCCTGTTATCTTCATGGCGGGGTATAAAGTATTTATTTTCCCGCTCATAACGTGAACCAATTATATCACAATATTCTGACTTGGAGATGAGATAAATACTTTTTTGTTATTTCCTTGGCATGAATATTCAACTGCTCTTGTAACTTGCGTGGAAACCAACCACAAGAAAGATAGGGAGACCTGGTGACGGACAATGCAAGGGGAGGGGGTGGGGGAGGCTGTTCAGGTCATTTAGGAACAAGATAAACTAAAGTATATTTTGGGACCTGTCTGACTATGTTCTAAATATGTAATTAAAGACTTCTTCCTCGTCTGTAGAGATTCGGGGTTAGCATAGGTGCCAAGCAATCTACGCTGACCACGAGAGGCGATTAAATGCATCGGAAGTCAGGCTAGGTGTCCTGTTTGATAGTGTGGACCCCGACGGAGGAGATCAATGCTCTTTATATCAAGTACCGCTTTGTCTCGTCCAGACTCGAGTATGTACAGGCTGACAAACGGACAAGACTGTCTCAATCTCCTTGTCCTTTGACTGGTCAGAGTAAGGGATGGCGCATTTAGGTGTGCAGATGTGCGCACCTTTGCTATTTTAGTTTCCGTTGGTTTTGACTGGGCTCCTGTCTACCTAAACAATTTGACAGGTTGGCCGATTTCTCACAAGCTGCGATTGGACCATTTCGTTGTTGAATGAGTGAGTGAGTGAGTAATTAGCAATATTCCAGCAATATCACGGTGGGGGACACCAGAAATTGGCTTCACACATTGTACCCATGTCGGGAATCGAACCCGGTGTGACGAGCGAACGCTTTAACCACTAGGCTACCCGACCGCCACCGTTATTGAACGAAAAAGAAGAGGTGGGACATGACTATTTTAGTGAGAGTGCGGTAGTTCTCTCAGAAGAAACATAAGCAGAGACGTTTGTTATAGTTTGCTAGCTGCTGAATATGTCCGCACAATACAGGTGCTAACTGATGCTGGTATATCCGCACAATATCTCTGCTCCATGTTGGTATGTCCGCACAATACAGGTGCTAGCTGCTTGTATGTCCGCACAATACCCATGCTCGCGGTTGGTATGTCCGCACAATACCCATGCTAGCTGCTGGTATGTCCGCACAATACCCATGCTAGCTGCTGGTATGTCCGCACAATACCCATGCTAGCTGTTGGTATGTCCGCACAATACCCATGCTAGCTGTTGGTATGTCCGCACAATACCCATGCTAGCTGTTGGTATGTCCGCACAATACCCATGCTAGCTGTTGGTATGTCCGCACAATACCCATGCTAGCTGTTGGTATGTCCGCACAATACCCATGCTAGCTGCTGAATATGTCCGCACAATACAGGTGCTAACTGATGCTGGTATATCCGCACAATATCTCTGCTCCATGTTGGTATGTCCGCACAATACAGGTGCTACCTGCTGGTATGTCCGCACAATACCCATGCTCGCGGTTGGTATGTCCGCACAATACACATGCTAGCTGCTGGTATGTCCGCACAATACCCATGCTAGCTGCTGGTATGTCCGCACAATACCCATGCTAGCTGCTGGTATGTCCGCACAATACCCATGCTAGCTGCTGGTATGTCCGCACAATACCCATGCTAGCTGCTGGTATGTCCGCACAATACCCATGCTAGCTGCTGGTATGTCCGCACAATACCCATGCTAGCTGCTGGTATGTCCGCACAATACCCATGCTAGCTGCTGAATATGTCCGCACAATACAGGTGCTAACTGATGCTGGTATATCCGCACAATATCTCTGCTCCATGTTGGTATGTCCGCACAATACCCATGCTAGCTGCTGTTATGTCCGCACAATACCCATGCTAGCTGCTGGTATGTCCGCACAATACCCATGCTAGCTGCTGGTATGTCCGCACAATACCCATGCTAGCTGCTGGTATGTCCGCACAATACCCATGCTAGCTGCTGAATATGTCCGCACAATACAGGTGCTAACTGATGCTGGTATATCCGCACAATATCTCTGCTCCATGTTGGTATGTCCGCACAATACCCATGCTAGCTGCTGAATATGTCCGCACAATACAGGTGCTAACTGATGCTGGTATATCCGCACAATATCTCTGCTCCATGTTGGTATGTCCGCACAATACCCATGCTAGCTGCTGAATATATCCGCACAATACAGGTGCTAACTGATGCTGGTATATCCGCACAATATCTCTGCTCCATGTTGGTATGTCCGCACAATACCCATGCTAGCTGCTGAATATGTCCGCATAATACAGGTGCTAACTGATGCTGGTATATCCGCACAATATCTCTGCTCCATGTTGGTATGTCCGCACAATACCCATGCTAGCTGCTGAATATGTCCGCACAATACAGGTGCTAGCTGATGCTGGTATATCCGCACAATATCTCTGCTCCATGTTGGTATGTCCGCACAATACCCATGCTAGCTGCTGAATATGTCCGCACAATACAGGTGCTAACTGATGCTGGTATATCCGCACAATATCTCTGCTCCATGTTGGTGTGTCCGCACAATACCCATGCTAGCTGCTGAATATGTCCGCACAATACAGGTGCTAACTGATGCTGGTATATCCGCACAATATCTCTGCTCCATGTTGGTATGTCCGCACAATACCCATGCTAGCTGCTGAATATGTCCGCACAATACAGGTGCTAACTGATGCTGGTATATCCGCACAATATCTCTGCTCCATGTTGGTATGTCCGCACAATACCCATGCTAGCTGCTGAATATGTCCGCACAATACAGGTGCTAACTGATGCTGGTATATCCGCACAATATCTCTGCTCCATGTTGGTATGTCCGCACAATACCCATGCTAGCTGCTGAATATGTCCGCACAATACAGGTGCTAACTGATGCTGGTATATCCGCATAATATCTCTGCTCCATGTTGGTATGTCCGCACAATACCCATGCTAGCTGCTGAATATGTCCGCACAATACAGGTGCTAACTGATGCTGGTATATCCGCACAATATCTCTGCTCCATGTTGGTATGTCCGCACAATACCCATGCTAGCTGCTGAATATGTCCGCACAATACAGGTGCTAACTGATGCTGGTATATCCGCACAATATCTCTGCTCCATGTTGGTATGTCCGCACAATACCCATGCTAGCTGCTGAATATGTCCGCACAATACAGGTGCTAACTGATGCTGGTATATCCGCACAATATCTCTGCTCCATGTTGGTATGTCCGCACAATACCAGACATCCGGATACCCGTAAAGATCCGGGTCAGAATAGGTCTTCAGCAACTCCTGCTTGCCCTAAAAGGTGACTATGCTTGTCGTAAGAGACGACTAACGGGATCGGGTGGTCAGGCTCGCTGACATGGTTCATGCATTTCATCGTATCCTAATTGCGTAGATCGATGCTCATAATCTCAATCACTGGATTGTCTGGTCCAGACTCGATAATTTACATACCGCCGCCCTTCAGCTGGACTATTGCTGAGTGCGGCGTTAAACAACAAACAAACAAACAGGGAAGAAATGTTGAAAGGTTCCACAGCTTATTCTAGTATGGGACATTTGGTGTCCAAAGTTGTGTCTAAAGTATTGCAAAAGTTAGGTAAATACGTTTATTCAATTGAATTAAACCTATTGTATCGTTATTGGCACAGTCGAACATCGATTCAAAAGTTTATTATTCCGCGTTTGATAACATGTTACATGCTATCCTGGTATTTTTCTTTCCTTCTCAACATACCGATCTCAAGTATATTGATTGTGTGTACAAGGTACTAAATAAATGGATTAGATAGAAAACGCCTTTCTGTTTGTCGACAATGCCCAGTGACATTGTGAACGCCTTTCCGTTTGTCGACAATGCCCTGTGATCACAAATTAACTAGTTCCTGCATAATAAGGAAACTATGCTTTCCGGGTGGGTCGGTCAGGTACCCCTAAACACACATGTAATATTCTCCAACCCTGAGGAAGAGGTTCCATCACTAAGATGCCAGCAATTTATTGTCCTGATGAGGGACCGAAATAATTGGTCGTAAGAGGCGATTAACGGCATCGGGTTGTCGGACTCACGGACTTGAACGATGCAGGTCATCATATCCCAGTTGCGAAGATCGACTCGAAACAAATTGACGAGATACTTAAGATAAGAAAACGAAGTGAAGATGAACTCGAATAATTAAGATATCCTTTTACTGTCTTCCAGCTGCTGTCCTCAGAAACATGATGACCCCAACCCTTAACATCCTTCTGAGTGTCGCTGCCATCTACTTCGTTCAGCGTATAACCGGTGAGAGATAGCCCCCCCCCCTTCCTCTCTCTCTCTCTCCCTCTCCCTCTCCCTCTCTCTCTCTCTCTCTTTGTCTCCCTTGCCCCTCTCTCTTTATATCTCCATCGTCCCTCTCTCTCTTTGTCTCTCTCTCGCCCTCTCTCTGTCTCTCTCTCGCCCCTCTCTTTATTTGTCTCTCTCTCCCTCTCTCTTTGTCTCTCTCTCGCCCCTCTCTCTTTGTCTGTCTCTCTCCCCTCTCTCTTTGTCTGTCTCTCTATCTTTGTCTCTCCATCGCCCCTCTCTCTCTTTGTCTCTCTCTCGCCCTATCTCTGTCTCTCTCTCGCCCCTCTCTCTTTGTCTCTCTCTCCCTCTCTCTTTGTCTCTCTCTCCCTCTCTCTTTGTCTCTCTCTCGCCCCTCTCTCTGTGTCTGTCTCTCTCCCCTCTCTCTTTGTCTCTCTCTCTCTTTGTCTCTCTCGCCCCTCTCTCTTTGTCTCTATCTCGCCCCTCTCTCTTTTTGTCTCTCTCTCGCCCTCTCTCTTTGTCTCTATCTCGCCCCTTTCTCTCTTTGTCTTCTCTCTCGCCCCTCTCTCTCTTTGTCTCTCTCTCGCCCCTCTCTCTTTGTCTCTCTCCCGCCCCTCTCTCTTTGTCTCTCTCTCGCCTATTTCTCTTTGTCTCTCTCCCGCCCCTCTCTCTTTGTCTCTATCTCGCCCCTTTCTCTCTTTGTCTCTCTCCCGCCCCTCTCTCTTTGTCTCTCGCCTTTTTCTCTCTTTGTCTCTCTCTCCCCTCTCTCTTTGTCTCTCTCTCGCCCTCTCTCTTTGTCTCTCGCCTATTTCTCTCTTTGTCTCTCTCCCGCCCCTCTCTCTTTGTCTCTCTCTCTCCCCTATCTCTTTGTCTCTCTCCCGCCCTCTCTCTTTGTCTCTCGCCTATTTCTCTCTTTGTCTCTCGCCTATTTCTCTCTTTGTCTCTCGCCTATTTCTCTCTTTGTCTCTCCCCTATTTCTCTCTTTGTCTCTCTCTCGCCCCTCTCTCTTTGTCTCTCTCCCGCCCTCTCTCTTTGTCTCTTGCCTATTTCTCTCTTTGTCTCTCTCCCGACCCTCTCTCTTTGTCTGTCTCTCTCCCCTCTCTCTTTTTCTTTCTCCCGCCCTCTCTCTTTGTCTCTCGCCTATTTCTCTCTTTGTCTCTCTCCCGCCCCTCTCTCTTTGTCTCTCTCCCGCCCTCTCTCTTTGTCTCTCTCTCTCGCCCCTCTCTTTTTGTCTCTCTCCCGCCCTCTCTCTTTGTCTCTCTCTCGCCCCTCTCTCTTTGTCTGTCTCTCGCCAATTTCTCTCTTTGTCTCTCTCTTGTCCGCTCTCTCTCCCTCCCCCCGCCCCTCTCTCTCTCTCTCGCTCAAATTACAGTTAACATTGTGTCGTCAGACTTGTTTACAATTATCAACCTTTTCACTATTCAAGATTGTCCGGCTTGATTCCTTCTAAAGCTACATGCCACATGTAAGTTTCGCTTGTTTTCATTGTACTATGGACATTGATGCCTAAATTACTGAATAAACTGTCTGTCTGTCTGTCCGTCTGTCTGTCTGATATATAGTGATGATGAAGATGATGACTCGAATCATATGAATGGCGGATAGGTGAACACTATAAACAACACAATGATACCAATAATCAGAAGCATCTTTTGACTTTTCAGCAACTCCATGTCCCCAAGTGGCTATCTGGGAGTCAACCTATTCTATGGTTGGATACCAAAAGAATCTTTCTGGTTTTGTATGGGTTCATCCCAGAGACAACCAATTTGTCGTGACATGCAACCCCTCCTGTAGTGGAACTTCAACCTACAGCGCTACTTACAATGATACACAGTCTACCCTGACTGTAGGCAGAATCTCAGTGGATGATTCCGGGTTTTGGCGGATCAAAGACGCAAATGTAGACATATATACTCCAATATGTAATCTGACGACAGCAAGTGAGTTTGAAGTTAATCATTATTTGGGAAATGTTACTTTTTATCTCAAGTTCTTCTATTTTATTGGTTACAAAAATGGGTATTTTTATCTATTGTGGGTTTTCTCTCGCTTGGGTTTAGAATGTTGTTTTATTTAGACCAGATGCATAATCATAATAGACTCACTGAAGATCGTAGACATACATGTGTTTGAATACCACGCACAACAATGATATAAGTTGTACCGTTTGGTTTCCAATGTCCTTTCGATCAATATTTTGTCTACTCTGTTTTTGCACCTCCATTTATCAATTAAAACCCTAATTATGTATTACATAGTGCGTGTTTGTGATAGATATACTCCTTGCATTTACTTCAGGGTGTGAAAATACGTACAACAGATGACTATAAGTAGGATCATTCTAAACTGTCCGGCAAATGAAACTAAAGTCTTGAGTGAGTGAGTTTGATTTTACGCCGCTTTTAGCAACATTCAAGCAATATCACGGCGGGGGACACCAGAAATGGGCTTCACACACTGTACCCGTGTCGGAATCGAACCCGGATCTTCGGCGTGATGAGCCAACGCTTTAACCACTAGGCTACCCGGCCGCCCGTAAAGTCTTTAACCCTTATGTTTGATGGTGGCTTAAACAGAAACAAACAAGAAATAGTTATTCAATGAGGATGTATTTGATAAGGGTGTCGGGAAAACGGTGGCCCTAGTCATTTACCGTACCGCAGTTCGCTGTTCTGAGTGGCAACCTATTATTATGGGTTCGAATCCGGGTTCGCCGCTATTGTTCTAGGTTTGTGAGCTCCATGCTCGTGGGTTTCACTGAAGTGGTTAACATTTGAGACCTGCATCACTCGAGGTTTTCCTCCCACATAAAGCTGGAATACTGATCAAAGCGGCGTTGAACCCAACTCACTCACTCACTCACTGATATGGGTATCCTAGTTATGATTCGGACCTTAGATTTTGCAGTGTTTCGGCGACTGTTTTCACCAAGTAAACTTCTGATAATGGCTGTAATTGTTTGGTTAAATTCAGTCTGGGGCGGTCGGGAAGCCAAGTGGTTAAAGCGTTCGCTCGTCACGCCGAAGACCCGGATTCGATCCCCGACGTGTGTACAATGTGTGAAGCCAATTTCTGCTGTCCCCCGTGATATTACTGGAATATTGTTAAAACCATTCTCACTCACTCACCTATATTAAAGGTTATGATCTTAAAAAGGTATTATTTTTAAAATATAACCCTGTCATTCTGAAGGAAATGTTAGACTAAATAGAATCCGTTCGTGGCTTTTTTACCCTAATAAAACACTTAGAAAATCTTTAAAGCATATTAGACATTTCTTGTGCATCTAAATACATTTAATGTTGAACATTTTATCATCCACTGTGTGTTGTGATAGTTTAAGTAAATATTCTTGTATTGGAGATGTTTTCAAATAGGAATTTCAACTGTTGACCAATCCGTTTGAATAAAATATAATATTGTGTAACCCATATATTTCATCAGCTTGTATATCTATGCATGTTCGTTGATGCGATTGGCCGTGATATTGCTCGAATAACCATACTCACTCAGTCAAATCGGGCGGTCGGGTAGCCTAGTGGTTAAAGCGTTCGCTCCTCGCGCCTAAGACCCAGGTTCGATTCCCGACATGGGTACAATGTGTGAAGCCCATTTCTGGTGTCCCCCGCCGTGATATTGCTGGAATATTGCTAAAAGCGGCGTAAAACCATACTCACTCACTCACTCACTCAGTCAAATCCATTCTTCAAGTGTATACTTTACTTTGTCCGGCACTGTACATGCATTACTATATTTAGCGGTTAACATTCCAGATCTGCCTACTTGCAACATTAGCAGTGATCTGGATCCACTTTCCCTGGAACTCGGGACAGTTCTCTCTATAACAGTGAACATCAAGAACTACTCCTGTTCGGACCAAGCCGGGTTTGACCTTACCACTGGTGACGTCACCGAGACGTTGCTGCGTAATGATTACGCTACACTCAACACAAATGAGGTTCTAAACAGCACCGTGAACGTTACATTGACACGGCTCGGGGACGTCCGGCTCAACTTCACCTGCCTCGACACCAGCTGGGAGCTTGACTGCACTGGTGTCAAACAGTTGTTAAAGAGTGAGTAGTTTGGGCATATATAGTGCTCTCGCATCAGTCGCAAAGCAGTTCGACCCGTGAAGATCCGGGGTAGAAAAGGTCTTCAGCAACCCATGTTTGCGGTAAGAGGCAACTGTGCTTGTCGTAAAAGGCGACTAACGGGATCGGGTGATCAGGCTCGCTGACTTGGTTGATGCATGTCATCGTATCCCAATTGCGTAGATGCATGCGCATGATGTCAATCACTGCATTGTCTGGCCATGACTCGATTATTTACTGATCACCTTCATATAGCTTGGATATTGCTTCATATAACTGCAATGTTGCCCAGTGAGACGCCAAAACAACAAACAAATAAAAGCAAAGTAGTTAATGGTGTTTCACTCATAAATGATTATCCCATGGGAAATCCAGGGATGCTAGGAAAATTTGTTATTTTTTACAACAAAATGAATTAACAGTTTTATGTTTATAAATGTTTTTCAGTCACTTCACACATGTCAACCTAACGGGATCGAGTTGACTCGATTGTTTACAGACGCCGTCAGATAGCTGGAATATTACTGAGTGCGGCGTTAAACAACCAACCAACCAACCAACCAACCAACCATATGTTTGGATCATGATGTCAGTCACTGGATTGTCTGGTCCAGACTCGATTGTTTACAGACGCCGTCATAAAGCTGAAATATTGCTCAGTGCGGCTTTAAACAAACAACCAACCAACCAACCATTTGCGTAGATCATGATGTCAATCACTGGATTGTCTGGTCAAGACTCGATTATTTACAGAACGCCGTCATAAAGCTGTAATATGCGGCGTTAAACAACAAACAAACCTATCATATTCATGAATGAAGCAGGAACGTAGTGTTTTCACATCCATGAAGTATAATGACAATGTATTTATCGTGTGCCATGTGGTATATGATATATCATTTACTTGTTTATTATTAACGCAACACTTAGCAATACTCCAGCTGTTTGGAACCCGTGAAGATCCGGGGTAGAATAGGTCTTCAGCAACCCATGCTTGCCGTACAAGACGACTGTGCTTGTCGTAAGAGTCGACAAACGGGATCGGGTGGTCAGGCTCGCTGACTTGTTTCAAGCATGTAATCGATCCCAATTGCGTGGATCGATGCTGATGTTGTCAATCACTGGATTGTCTGGTCCATACACAATTATTTACTCGGCGTTAAACAACAAACAAACAGACAAATCAAACAAACAAAATAATTGAGTCTGGACCAGACAATCCAGTGACTGGTATATATAATAGTCCGCCAGCCTGTCCACCGGATCACGTTGGTCGCCTCTTATGACAAGAGGTTACTGACCGCGTCTGACCCTGATCTTCATGGGGTAATTGATATATTATCAATGTTTAAATTCATGCAAACCCCAGTTTTGAAGAATTTTTTTCTTTTCAGAAGATAACCTTAAGTGTGGAACCTCAATCATAGTTTTTCAATGACATGTAAAAAAATGCAAAAAAAAAGAAAACTTCATAAAATCTACCAACAGGCCCGCCATCATGCAACATCAGCAGCGATGTTGAAACGGACGACCTTGAACTTGGTACAGAGGTGACCCTCTCAGTGGACATCAGGAACTACTACTGCTCCAAACAGGCGGAGTTCAACCTCACCACCGGCAGCGCCAAGGAGGTGCTGCTAGCTAGGCATGACGTGGATGACATTTCAAGCGCCTTCCCAAACACAACCTTCAACGCCACAGATGAGAGATTCGGAAAAGTTCTTGTCAAGTTTTCCTGTGATAACTTCGACAAGGACCTGATCTGTGGCGGCATCAAGGAACTTGTTAAAAGTTAGTACGCCTAACACTCATTTCCTTTAAAACTATAGAGACCGCCTCCCCACGTGGTCTAGTGGTAGAGCGTCCGCCCGGAGAGCGGAAGGTCCAGGGTTCGATTCCCGGCCGCGTCAAAAGACGGTACTTGTTGTTACCCTGTCTGACGCTCGGCATTAAGGGTCTTAAACAAGGACTGGTCGGCTCGGAGTCAGTATACTGTGTCTGAGTGGGGTATTCATGTTAAACTGCGGCATGGTATCTCAGTGAGCTAGCACTATAAATCGGCATCAGTCCGGACTAGTACAATCAGACACACACACACACACACGTACACGCACGTCGCTATTTAAGTGCAATAATCGTTGGAGCGACGTTAAACCCCATTTCACCACACCTTGAAACTATAGAAAATATCCCAATCTCAAGGTGTAAATGTTCCGCTACTCCTATCCATGGGATATGTGGCTTTCACAATTGTCAACAACCTTCACAGCAAGCTTCGTTTGTTTGTTTGCTTATTTGTTGTTTTCAACGCTTTATGACAGCGGGCTGTAAATAGTCCAGGGACACCTTGAGCACCAATCTACTCAACTGGGACACGATGACATGCATCAACCGCATCAGTGAGCTCAACCACTCGACCGTTCGTCGCGTCTTGCGGTGAGCCTGGTTTTGTGAAGACCAGTGCTAACCAGGATAAAAGGGGGCACAGCAGGTTTCGAAGCGGACTGGGAAGGGACGTAACTCGGTGGTGTAGCAACTAGGAGATAAACGAGGTGTTTTCTCGTTGGCTCAATATGTTGTAAAAAGTTCTGTCCTACTGACTCACTACAGCGTATTCATTTATTTCTTACTTCAGCATGTTGTAAATAGCATTATTCATTTATTTCTTACTTCAGCATGTTGTAAATAGCATTATTCATTTATTTCTTACTTCAGCATGTTGTAAATAGCATTATTCATCTACTTCTAACTTCAGCATGTTGTCAATAATATTATTCATTTACTTCTTACTTCAGCATGTGGCCAATAATATTATTCATGTACTCCTTGCTTCTGCACGTTGTAAATAGTATCATTCATTTACTTCTTACTTCAGCATGTTGTCAATAATATTATTCATATACTTCTAACTACAGCATGTTGTCAATAGAATTATTCATTTACTTCTTACTTCAGCAAGTTGTCAATAATATTATTCATCTACTTCCAACTTCAGCGTGTTGTCAATAATATTATTCATTTACTTCTTGCTTCTGCCTGTTGTAAATAGTATTATTATGGACTTCTTACTTCAGCAAGTTGTCAATGATATTATTCATTTACTTCTTACTTCAGCATGTTGCCAATAATATTATTCATTTACTCTATCGACTGTCGTACGTCTATGTTAAAGGATGGGACGTACGCTCGCCTTAGCGCTACGACTGTCGTAAGTCTATGTTAAAGGATGGGACTTACGCTCGCCTTAGCGCTACGACTGTCGTAAGTCTATGTTAAAGGATGGGACTTACGCTCGCCTTAGCGCTACGACTGTCGTACGTCTATGTTAAAGGATGGGACGTACGCTCGCCTTAGCGCTACGACTGTCGTACGTCTATGTTAAAGTATGGGACTTACGCTCGCCTTAGCGCTACGACTGTCGTGAGTCTATGTTAAAGGATGGGACGTATGCTCGCCTTAGCGCTACGACTATCGTAAGTCTATGTTAAAGGATGGGACGTACGCTCGCCTTAGCGCTACGACTGTCGTACGTCTATGTTAAAGGATGGGACCTACGCTCGCCTTAGCGCTACGATCGCTTTGTACAACGGCACCCAGGTGTACATCGGTTAAAGCTTCAAGGTGTCCCACAAACTGGGCACCATTGCCATCAATACTCGCCCAGAAGACCTTGATCCCGCTGAAGGTCCTTCCTGTTTTTTACTTGACGTTTTATTGTGCAGGGCTTCCTTCAACAACAGCAGCGACGACATCTCCATCAACTACGCCTCCAGGTAAGACACCGACAACAAGTTCAATAGGTAAAACTATTTATGCTTGGTAAGGATTAGATTGGTTCTCAAATATGGATCGAGCAAATTCATTAAATTCGATCGGTTGGTAAATATATGTGTCATAGCTGATGTCGTAGATGTCTTTGCTCGTTACAGTTACTGCTGACCCACCAGAAAATGACCTTATGGGTGCTTAGATATAATTGTGCTATGCATGATTTTTTTCTCTCGTTACTTCGTAATGTAATAAAAAAAAACATTATATAAAAGACTTTCAGCATATATGTTAGGGGTGGGACGGGTCACTCGGGTACTCGAGTCGGGGTGGTACTGAGTAGGACCCGGATAACCACAGGACAACCCGGACCCGTGGTTAGTCATGTGATATATTTTTTATTGACATTAACATAACAATAAAATGTCATGGTTACACTTTATAAGAACAAGTTGCTAATATTCGCATTTTCATTCTGACTGTGCACACATTCCTTAAGCTTCTGATTTTTATATGTTTTTGTAAAGACAAAGCTTCAGTCAACTTCAGTATATGCACGATCAGATCGTTTTTTACTATATATAAATACTTACCTAACTTGAGACCGAGAGTGGGTCCCCGGGTAAGGTCGGGTAAGGGGGGTCGGGTACCCGTGTAGAAAATTTCGACTCGTCCCAACCTTAATACATGTCTACTTTTTATTCATCAGACATTATGTCTAATAAATGTTATTATACCATAAACAGTTATCAGTCGGAAGATGATTTTAAATGTCATGTATCTCTATGATAAACATGAATTGAAGCTTGTGAATTATATCTTTGTGTTCCGAATTTACTATTGTTTAAAAATAAAATGAAAATCAAAATGTGATTTTCCTAACATAAGGTCGGTTTGTCACATATATCTTATTAACTAGAACATTAACAGGCGTTAAACAACATTCACTCGCTTTCTTTACTCTTGTTTGTTATTTACGTTGTAC